AGGTCACCTCCACTATTTAGCCAGCTTGAGACCAGCCTGATCTACAATCCAGGCTCTTTCTTTGCCCCTTGGTTTTTAAAATTAGTATTCTCTCTCTCTCTCTCTCTCTCTCTCTCTCTCTCTCTCTCTCTCCCTCCCTCCCTCCCTCCCTCTCTGTATGTCTCTGTGCCACCCCACCCCCTCACTCTCCCCCACAATGCAGAGTGTGTTATTCCCTTCTACCACCTGGGTTCTGGGATCAAATTCAGGTTGTCGGGCTTCAAGGCAGGAGCCTTTACTGCTGAGTCATCTTGCTGGTCCTGTCTCCTGATATTTACATGAATTATTAGGGAGATTCAAGTTAGTACAGATAAAACTACAAACACATTCCTGGCACACTGTTATTCTAGGAAATAGTCCGGAGATGGTGCTTTCCACCAAGCCTGACAACTGAGTTCAATCCCCAGAACCCACACTGTGGAGGAGAGAAGGATTTCACATGGTAGAAGGAGAGAAAGGATTCCCCCACAGGCCCACACTACAGAAGAAGAGAATTGACTCCCCCAAGATCTCTTCTGCCATATGTGCACAGTGGTTCATGTGCCTACACACATATGTACATAGTTAATAAATGTAGTAAAATTTTAAAGGATTAAAATGGTAAACTTTGAGTTATGCATTGTTTTCCAGTTTATTTTTTCACTCATGTATTCACATATTAATTAATTTTGAGACACGGCTTCACTATACAGCACTAGTTGCCATGGAATTTGCAACACAGACCTCTCTGGCCTCCAACTCAAAGAGATCTACCACCCAGCTTCCCAGTGCTGGGATCAGAGCTATGTGCTACTACCTGGCTTTTTCTTTTTCTCCAGTTTTTTCTTTTCCTTTTTGAGACAGGGTCTTCCTGTAGCCCCAGTTTACCTGGAACTCGATATGTAGACAACAGGCTGGCCTCCACCACACAGTGATTGGTGTACCTCTACCCCAGAAGTGCTGGGTCTAATGATGTGCACCACCACACCCAGCTTCTTTTTTTCCTCAGTTTTTTTTTTGGTCTTTTTGAAATAGGGTCTCCCTGTACTTCCTGTAGCCCCAGCTGGCCTGGAACTCACTATGTAGACCAGGATGGCCTCAAACTCACAGAGATCCTCCTGCCTCTGCCTCCCAAATGCTGGGATTAAAGGTGTGCGCCACTACGCCGGCCTTTCCCCAGTTTTTAAAAGGAAGAATTAACAGGTTTCACTTAGCATAGTACATCAAAATGGAACTGGGCACGCCTTTAATCCCAGCACCTGGGAAGCAGAGGTGGGCGGATCTCTGTGAGTTTGACATCAGCCTAGTTTACATAGCAAATTCCAGGCCAGTTGGGGCTACAAAAACAAAAAAACAAACAAATGCAAGTCACAATACAAGGAAAGACTTAAATCAAAGCCTCAGAATTTCATACAAGTGCTACTATTACATCTCAAAATTGTCCCAGACCTTAGGGGGGGGAAAAAAAAAAGCAAGTATATACTCACGTGCCTTACTGTACCAAATGTTGCCGCTTTGCCATAACCTGCTGAACTATTTCCCTTGTTCCAAAGGAATCTCTTATAATACCTTTTCTTTTTGCTGGATCTGGTGGCACACACCCTTAATCCCAGCACAGGGGAGGCAGAGGCAGGCACAAACCTGTCATTCCAGGAGGTGGAGGCAGGACGTCCGGCATTCAAAGACCATTTTGGCTACTTAGTGTGGGCTACACGAGGCCAGGTCTCAAGAAGGTCAAAAACAAGTGAAAAGCTTAAGTGAGCCCAAATGTTAATACTCTGCGTGATGACTGTACTCTTTTGCTCTTCTCATGACTCATCAGTGTAAATTTGACTAGATGAAGCAACTCTCCAGGGTGCAAATTCTTAGGACTGTGCCTCACAATGACAAATGACATCATTGAAGTACCATATATAAAGATTACTTTTGTTTGATTTTTGGTTTTGTTGAGACAGGGTCTTATTTATCCGTGACTGGCCTCAAACTCACTAACTTTGTAGCCCAGGATGATCTTGAACTTGTTATCCTCCTGCCTCCACCTGGAGTGGTGTGAACCTCCTACCCTGGTTTATGTGGTGAGGAGACTGAACCCAGGGCTTCAGTAACTCCAGCTCCAAGGAATCTGACACCTTCCTCTGGCCTCTGCAGGCACCCATATGCATGACGCCCTCTTCTGACCTCCAGGGGCATTGCTTGGTAGGGTACACTTAAATACCTACACACAAAACACTCATATACAATAAAATAATTAGTTTTAAAAAAATCTTGAAAAGAGTTCAAGGTACAGCCTAGATTACATGAGATTCTATCTCTAAATAAATAAATACATAAATAAAATCTCTAGGCAAAATTATAAGAAATTGTCTTTTTTTTTTTTGAGAGTCTCCCTGTAGCCCCAGCTGGCCTGGAACTCACTATGTAGACCAGGTTAACCTTGAACTCACAGAGATCTGCCTGTCTCTGCCTCCTAAGTGCTGGGATAAAGGTGTGTTCCACCATGCCCAGCTTTTACTAAAAATTTTTAAATTACAATATTAAAAATCAAGTTGGTGAAATAAAAATCAAATTAGTGCTGGGGCTGTAGCTCAGCTGGTAGTGTCTTTCTAACATGCACAAAACCTTGGCTTTGATCCCTAGCACAGTTAAAAAAAAAAAAACAAAAAAAAAAAACAGGTGTGGTGGTGAACGCCTGTGATCCTGGCACTTGGAAGATGGAGGCAGGAAGATAAAACACTCAGGTTATCTTCAGTTATATAGTGAGTTTGAGGTCAGCCTGGAAAACGTGAGACTCTTTGTTTTATTTATTTATCTATTTATCTACTTATTTATCTACTTATTAGCCAGTGATGCACACCTTTAATACCAGCAGAGGCAGTTGGATCTCTGTGAGTTCAAAGCCAGCCTGATCTACACAGTGAATTCCAGATCAGCTGGGGCTACAAGGAGACCCTATCTCAAAAAAGGAAAAAAAAAAAGGAGGGGCTGGAGAGATGCCTCAGCAGTTAAGAACACTGTTGTTGCAGAAGATAGGGGTTGGAATCCCAGCACCCACATGGCAGCTAACAACTGTCTGTAATTCCAGTTCCAGGGGATCTGACAGCCTCTTCTGTCCTCCATGGGCACTGCACGACATGGGTACACTTACCTACATGCAGGCATAACACTCATACACATAAAATAAAAATAAATAAAATATAAAGCATCTAGAAAAAAAATCTTAAAAAAAAGCAAAAAGCAAAAAAAAAAGCATAAATATTTAAGTGTTTAAAATAAATCTTAGCAAGGTATGGTGGTGCATATCTTTAATCCCAGCACTTGGGGGATAGAGGTGGGCAGATCTCTGTAAATTTGAGGCCAGCCTGGTCTACATAGGGAGTTCCTGGTCAGCCAGGGCTACACAAGGAGACCCTATCTCAAAAATAAAATAAAGTAAGCTGGGCATGACAGCGTACACCTTTAATCCTAGTACTTGGGAGGCAGAGGCAGGCAGATCTCTGATTCAAGGCCAGCCTGGTCTACATAGTGAGTTCAGGCCAGCTGTAGCTACAGGGAAACCCTATCTCAAAAAGACCAAATAAATAATAAGTAGATAAATAGATAAATAAATAAAACAAAGTACAATAAAATTTAAACAGGCACAGCAGTACATTCCTATAAACTCAGCATGCCAGAGGTGAAGGAAGGAGGATCAGGAGTTTTAGACCAGCCTCAGATACAATATGAAGCTAGCCTGGGATATGAAACCCTATCTCAAAAAGCCAGAACAAAACACACACAAACACAATAGAACAAAAAAGAAGCTTAAATATTCTAAAGTAGATCTTTCTTGATATAGTGATGTATGTTTATAATCCTCCAACACAAGAAGTAGAGGCAGGAAGATCAGTTCAAGGCTAGGCTGGACTACATGAGACCGAGACTTAGAAAAATGGGGAAGGTAGGTAAGGATCTATGAATGATGACCTTGGATGACCAGGATGACCTTGTTCCTCCTGCCTCTACCTCCGCATCGCTAGGATTACAGGCATGCACCACTGTACCTGGTTTATGTAGTCCCGGGGAAGGAACCCAGGGCTTTGTGCCACATCCCTAGCTCCCATAAAATGTAAAACACCAAGATTTCAAAACTAAAAATTAAATGCATACACACACATTTATATATATATAACGTTATATATATATAACGATATAAACTTTACACTTTTTTTTGGTCTTTTTGAGATAGGGTCTCCCTGTAGCCCCAACTGTCCTGGAACTCACTATGTAGACCAGGCTGGCCTTGAACTCACAGAGATCCGCCTGCCTCTGCTGGGATTAAAGGCGTGCACGACCACGCCCGGCTAAACTTTACACTATTTTAAGCCAGATGTGGTGGCTCTCTTCTATTATCCGTGCATTCGGGAGATTGAGTCAGGACTGCCACAAGTTCAAAGCCATCCTGGATGACATAGGAAATTCCAGGCTGGAGTGATATCCTGCTTCCAAAACCGAAAATGAGGGATCTGAGACGGCTCAGCGGATAAGCGTTTGCCGATAAGCCTGAAGACTTGAGTTCAATCCCAGGAGTTCACATGGTGGAAGGAGAGAACCGACTCCTAGGTGTCCCCTAACCTCCACACATGCCTACTGTGACACGCTCACGTCCCTTCCCCCTAATAAATACGTTAAAAATGAAATAAAAACTCAAAATTAAATGTAAGATAAAATGCTTTTTTTGAGACAGGGTCTCCCTGTAGCCCCAGCTGGCCTGGAACTCGCTATGTAGACCAGGCTGGCCTTGAACTCAAGAGGTCCACCTGCCTCTGCCTCCCGAGTGCTGCGATTTAAGGCGTGCACCACCATGCCCAGCTAAAACGCTATCTTAACAACTGCTTCTCTGAAACGTTCGGCTATATCGCAGGTGTAGAGACTACGAGCACCCCCACCTCTCCCCCTCCCCGTCCCAACCTGAGGCCCCGTGGCGCCTGGAGCGCAGGCAGTGCCCTGACCAGCCCGCCGCTAGGACCCACGGCCAAGATGGCGGCGCTCGCTCTCCAGGCCCGGGGCTTCCTGGAGCTGACAGTGCCCCTGGGCCGTGGCTTCCGAGGCTACCGAGCACCTCCGCCCCCGCGCCGCGCCCCAGGGCCCCGGTGGCCAGACCCGGAGAACCTGCTGACTCCTCGATGGCAGTTACGGCCGCTGTATGCGGCTAAGCAGTTCGCGCGGTACGGCGCCGCCTCTGGGGTGGCCCCCGACTCGTTGTGGCCCTCCCCGGAACACCTGCGGGAGCTCGAAGCCCAAGAGCGAGAGTGGTACCCGAGCCTGGAGACCATGCTAGAGTCGCTCCGCGTGCAGCAGCAGGCTGAGGAAGCAAAGCGTCAGGCCAGGTGCGTGTATGTGGGCAAGGAACCCCGCGTCCCGAAGCTCAACACTTCCACTGGAGGCATGCGGGATCTGCGAGGTGTGGGTGTAATATACATGCCCCAAGGCTGCAAAACAAATCATAAATGATTCTTGTAGTCAGCTCAAATGCAGGGATGCGGGGGTTTTTGTTTTTTCCCCCTCCCCTTTCCCCTACCGCTGAACTAGCAGTTCACTTTTTATTTTGCACCTGGGTCTTACTATTAACGAGAACCCACTCTGTTGCTCAAGCTGGTCTTTACCCTAGAATCCATCAGCCTTCGCTTCCCGAGTATCTGGGATTACAGGCTTGTACCCTTAGCTGCAGGTCTCTACTGAGCACTGACTGTGCAAGGCTCTGTCCCAGGCACTAAGAATCCACAAAGCAGGGAACAAAACTGACGTTAAAATGATGACAAAGGACCCTTGAGAAGATAAAACCGGGTGAAGAGTGCATTCTAGGGGACATCTTCAGTTTGCCAGATCTTGTATGTTTAAACAGAACTCTAGAAAACAAGATAGTGACCAGGAAATCTCAAGAAAAGGTCCCAGAATAGGGGTACAAAGGTCTTGAGGCTGAGCCATGTCTACTAGTGTATGCCTGTAATCCCAGCATTCTGGAGCAGACGTGGTGAGGTGGACTTTGAGTTTGAGGCCAGCCTGACTACATAGCAAGAGCCTATGTCAAAAGGAAAAAAAATTGCCCAGAGTGGTGGCACATGCCTTTATTCCCACACTTGAGGCAGAGGCAGATGTATCTCTGAGGCCAGCCTGGTCTACATAGTGAGTCCCAGGCAAGCCAGTGCTACATAGCAAGACCCTATCTCAAAAAAAAGAAAAAGAAATAAGCCTGGAATTCTGCTTTAAAGGGACAGCCTGCAGGCTAGTGAGGCTGGAGAATTGGAAAGTGAAGATCTGAAATACAAGGCACAAGTCAGACATGGAGGCACATCTGAATGATCACATCTGGGGAGGGAATGGAGAGAAGACCACAGGCACCACTGCATGATGACACTTCAGGCAGATGGTGGGGAGCAGGTCAAGTGTGCTCCTGGTTTTAACCTTGTCCTTCCATCAGCCTGGGAGGACAAGGAAACCTCTCATTTTAGAGATGAAACTGAGGCCTAGGGAAGTCAAGTTAGGTGTCTGGAGTCATGCTGGCAGCAAATGATAGAGCTGTGTCCCTAGCTGGATGGCCGGTCCTGTCCTGTCCAAGAGGTTTGGTTCTTTGAGCTTCACTTTCCTAATCCTCAAGATGGAGCTCTGAGTGTAACTACAAATTCACAGGAATGCAGGGAAATGTCCATGCAGTTGTTCCCATTCCTGAATCTGGGCCTGGCATACAGTAGGTGCCAGTGAAGCCTGTGGAATGCAGGAAGGTGTCCATGGCAGGGACATGAGGATGGATCAGTAGACAGCTTGGTGAAGTTCTGTGACTTGGTCTGCCCCCCTCTGTAGGGAGCAGCGTATCGCAGAATGCATGGCCAAGATGCCACAGATGATAGAGAACTGGAGACGGCAGAAGCAGGAGCGCTGGGAGAAGGCCCAGGCTGAGAAGGAGAGGAAGGCCCAGCTACAGGCCGAGGCCCAGGAGCGACTGGGCTACCATGTGGACCCAAGGAGCGCCCGCTTTCAGGAGCTACTACAGGACCTAGACAAGCAGCAGCGAAAGCGCCTCAAGGAGGAGAAGCAGAGACAGAAGGAGGTAGCTCGAGCTGCTGCCATGGCTGCTACGGAAGCCCAGGATCTAGCAACCTCTGGGGTACCCAGCTCCTGAGCTCTGCTCTCTCAATAAAGCCAGCTGCTGCGCCTGACAGCCCATGTTCAGTGTTCTCCCTCAAAGTGTACCTCTCTGGATCCCCTGGCTCATTTCCCAACATCTGGGACTGGAGAATCCTCTACTGGGCTTTGTTCACACCTGGACACTAGGCCACTCCATGAACTGGGGCTTCAGGGAGAGAAAGGGGAATGGATGGGCAAATAATGAAGAAACAGATGGCAGTGGAGAAAGCTGCTTCTGTTTACCAACATTAAACTCCAGTAATTAGCCAGTTGTGTTTGTGTGCACGCATGCGCGGGCAGCCCAGGGCTTTATGAGGCAGGAGCCCAAGCTTCCAATAGGAGGAAATACTGGGGCCGCCCATCTCAGAGCTCCCAGACCCTTCCCTGTTTCTCAGCAGGTCCATGTCACCTATGCCCACAGACCCAGGCACGCTGGTGTGAAAAAGCCCCAGTAGGCATGCACCACTGTTAGGGCTCATTTTTAAAACTTTATTCAGTTCAAAACCTTTAGCAGAGATGTGGTTCTGTCCTGGCATGGGAGTAGCCTTGACCTCCAAAGCTGATGTTACCTCTTCTTCAGGCTGGAGGCCAAGGCCAGACTGCAGAGAGGGACTCACCCCAGATGGAAAGATTTAGGCCACTCCAGTGGAGGATAAAAGTTTGGGGCTCCAGCTTCCCCCTCATCCTAGAAGAGGGCGGGGGTGGAGGGGGTCCTTGGGGATCCTTTGGGGATGGGGAAGCAAGCAGCCACTTCTCCATCTGGCTGCAGGGAGCTGGGACAAAGGCCAAGAGGGACCCATCTGTCGCCTCCTGGTACTGCCAGCAGCTTTGAGCAGGCTGGGCTCAGTAAGAGAATGGGGGATAGCTGTCTGGCCCAGGTCTTCAGACTGGGATGGGAGTAGGAGCCACTTTAAAAGGGTGGGAAGCTGGGCTTTTAAAAAAAATCTTAAGGTTTTTTTCTTCCTCTTAAATAAACATGAATATATATATATATATGTGTGTGTGTGTGTGTGTGTGTGTATATATGTATGTATGTATGTATTACCATAAAACTTTTGTGGAGTCAGGTGGGGGCAGTGGGCAGCCTGGGCTCCCGGCATCACTCGTCATCAAAGTTCTGACTCAGGAGGAAGTTGGCAGCCAAATTCTCGTTTTTTTCACATGCGAAGTAGGCCTGGATTACCAGGCTCTCTGGGAAGCCCAGGGCCTTCAGCTGTGGGAAGATGGGCAGGGGTGAGAGGGAGGGGTATGGGGGGCTGCCCACCACAGGGTGGCCTCCCAGCCAGGCCTCTTACCCTCTCTATAGCTTCTTTCTCCTGTGGTGTCACCTGGATGTAGTTCATCTGTGGGGCCTCCTCGCCGATGGCACCAACCTCCCCCTCCACATCAGAGATGTCTGCCAGCTCCCCAGGGGGTTCGTTCAACATCTGGATAAACTGCTCCTGGTGTCGGCTAATTTGCTGTGAGAAAAGGGGGAAGGATGCCCAGGTCTCATTACAGCTCTTGCTTATATAGGCATCAGCAAACACTCAGGAGATGCCTGCTCTGGCCAGATAGCAATGTCACTGGGAAACAAGCTGTTCTGGTGACGCTGGGGTGCCAAGGTGGAGAGATGGGCTGTAAGTGAATTAATGGACCAAAGCCAGGCATGGTGGCTCATGCCTATAATCCCAGGACTTGGGAGGTTGAAGGAGGATCTTCAGGGGTTTGAAGCCAGCCTAGAGCTATAAAGTCAAGACTATCTTTTTGTTGTTGTTTGGGATCGTATGTAGGCTGGCCTCAAATTCACAGATTCACCTACCTTTGCCAGGATTAAAAGCAAAACTCTTTATCTTTTAAAAAAACAAAGCCACAGTTGGGCATGGTGGTGCACACCTTTACACTCAGGAGGCAGAGGCAGGCAGATCTCTGTGAGTTCAAGGCCAGCTTGTTCTACATAGTGAGTTCCAGGACAGTGGGGCTACAGGGAGACCCTGTCTCAAAAAGAAAAAAAAAAAAAATAAAGCCACAAAAAATCAGACCACACTACTGCAGATGTTGGACTAGGAAAGTCACTGAGGCCTAGTGGGTAGAGTCTGCCACCTGACATAGAGAGGTGGGTTTCCTCTGGGTCGAACAAGCAGCAAGTATAAAGGCCCTGGTGTAGATTCACTGGGAAAGTCTTAGAAACAGAACCCTGTAGCCAGAACAGCACAGAAAAAGCAGGGAAGAGATAAGAGAGCTGGGTCACGTACTTTCTTCCCTGGCAGTGGGAAGCCATAGTAGTAACAAGAGAGAGGGTATGGCTTTGACTATTTCTTTCTGTGATGCTGCAGGTGGAACCCAAGGCAAGCAAGCACTCTACCACTGAGCTACACTCTCAGCCTATGCAAGAGAGTGTTTTGGTTTAAGACGGGTCTCACTATTAGAACTCATAGTCTTCCTCCTGCCTCAGCAGTCCCTGTACTTGTTAGATACACTCAGTATTGGAATCTGGAGGTTCTGTGCAGCTCATTGCTTTTGTACACATCTTAACAATTTTCACATGAAAAAGAGTACCTTTTCAGAAATCTGGCTTCTGGTTGACAGTACAAGAGGGGCACTGTGTGGAATCAAGAGCCTGGAAAGAGGCTGTCAAGGCATGGGGTGGGAGAAGTGGCTTCCATTGGAGCAGTGGGCAGGGCTAGACTAAATGGAAAGGCAGAGACAGTCCCAGGAGGCTGCCAGGGGCTTGGGCAACCAAGCAGAAGCAAGCACGCCTAAAGTCTCAGAGGCCTAGGAAATCTTCACAGGTCAGATCAGTCGCGTTCAGAGAGGTCTGCTATGACTCCACAGATTTGGGTCACCACAGACTGAGGGTCCAGGATGACAATGTAATGGAGAAGACTGAGCACAGAGCACAGATGAAGAACAGGGCAGGGAGTAGGCAGGACTGAAAAGCAGAAAAGGAGTTGCAGGGTATTCAGAATTCTGACAAACCTGATACATTCCTGAGTGCCTTGAGGACCCAGACAACTCCCTATTGGTGACATGGCAACCTGCTCTGGGCTTCTGGTATCTTCATCCAGGGCAGCAACAGCACCCATACCTCAGAGAGGGTCAGAGTACACACCACTACATAGGTCAACAGGGAGCAAGAGGTATGGCCTATTCTGGTCCTGCTTTCCCAGAGCCCAAGCTATGTCCCTGGGTGGAATTGGAAATGGCACTTTTCTCAGTCCCCTCACCCTGGGCCGCACCTGCAAAAGCTGAGGGTTCTCCTGGCCCAGCTGCTGGAGAAGGGCGGGAAGCAGTGCTGGGTTCTGCTGAATCACCTGCCGCATATTCTGGAACTGGGGCTGGTCCCGAAGGAACTCCAGGGGGTTCTCACCTGCTATTGGCAGGAAGAAGTGTGGTCAAACCCCTGCAGGGATTCCTGGCCTGGACTGCAGATACCCACAGGCACACCTACCAGACTGCTCACCTGCTTCTGTGGCTGGCTGCTCCGACACCTGGCTCTCCTGGACAGAACCATGTTCAGGCTCAGGGCTGCCTGGAATTCCCTGTCAGGGATCCTGCTTTTTAGTTCTCCTGCATAGACCTCCCATGTGACCAGACTAGCCACACCCACCCCTAGCCTCCTGGCGGGAACCTTCAGTGGTGATATGACATCCCCTACCCAAGGACCTATGGGGCAGGTTCTGCTTCTGTCCGTTGGGGCACTGAGGCCCCGGGATTCCCTTTAGGCCTCCAAAGAGGCAGTGGAGGCCCCTCACCGTGAGCAAGTACTCCACAGCTCGGTGGGGGTTGTTGTAGCTGGCTCTCAGTGCGGCCACGACCCGTTCCCGTTCATAGCCCATGGACATGATCTCGGTCAGCATTGTTTCATACTCAGAGCCTGTCACTGTGGAGGGAGCAGTGGGGTCTGGATCACCACTGCTGCCCTTGTTCAACAAGGGCAGCTCCCAGGCCCTCCCACACCTGGACAAGGCCCAGCTCATGGCCAGGGCTCCCAGTCGCCTCTGCCTTGGGAGACCACCCACCCACCTAGCGTGGAGGCCGCGTCTTCCTCTCGCCCGCTGCTACCTGAAGAGGGAACAGAGCTGCAAATTCAAGAGAGAGAAATCGGACCCTGGCTTATGGTGGCTTGCCCTCCCTCCAAGTGCATGGGACCACACATATGGGCACTGGATGGTGTGGCTGCTACTCTTTTCTTACCCTGACAGGGACTCTGGAGATGTTGTAATGGCTGACTCCTCTGATGGGCTCTTGTCCTCTCTGCTGGCAGGTGGAGGATGGGACATGCTCGAGGCTGGGGCTGGAGGGAACGGTGTGGAAGACTCTGGGGCAGAAGTAGGTGAGACCTCTGAGGGTGCTGGTGTACCCTGGCCAGCTTTGGCCTGTGACAGCAAGAAAAATGGATCAGGCAGGAGTATCCCTATCAAGCCCCAACATCCTACCCAGTTACAGCCCCACCCCGCCTGTGGCTAATCTCTCCTGGGCACACAGGCCCTGTACCAGCACCCAGCTAATCAACCCACCTTGGTCACCATGACAACCACGAAGTTCTTCTCGTCTATTCTGTATTCCCTGATGGGGACATCGTCACTCAGGATCTTGCCAGCATAAATGAGCTTCTGCCCGGATACAGGAAAAGCATCTCGACCCTTCTCAGCTTCTATCTTCTCCTTCAGCACCTTCACCTAGAAGGGGTAGAGTCATTACAAATCCCAAGAGTCCCTCCTCCCTTCTGCCTTACAACAAAGGACGAGCTTTCTAGTCAACCACATGAGATTTCAATTCAATATGGCCAGTCTGTGGTAGTTCCTGAATATCTATTAGTCGCCAGGCACTGAGGCTGCTTAGTATGTGTGTTTGTAGGCTGGGGAGAGAACCCAAGGCTTTGTGTATGCTAAGTGTTCTACAGCTGCATCCCCAGTCCATCTATTTTACAACCTGTTCTACAGAGGCCAGAGCAGAGAACAATGTAAATCCCTGTTCTCATAAAACACTGATGTGAGAAGAACGAATTTGTATTTCAGAGGGCATATGCTAAAAAGGGAAATAATAAAGAGTTAAAAAGGTACTGCTGAGCCAGGTGTGGTGGTGCACGCCTTTAATCCCAGCACTTGGGTTGCAGAGGCAGGAGGATCTTTTTGAGTTCAAGGCCAGCCTCGTCATGACAAGGAGTTCCAGGACAGCTGGGGCTACAAGGAGACCCTGTCTCAAAAAGACCAAAAAAAAAAAGGTGCTACTGACCCCAGACAGTAGCTGTGCTCTGTGCTCACTGAGGGTATTCTTTCTTTCTTCCTTCCTTTCCTTCTTTTTTGGTGAGTCAGGGCCTTGTTCTGTAGCCCAGCACAGCCTAAGAATGTGTAACCTAAGCTGCCCTGGAACTCATAGCAATGCCTCCCAAATTCAGGGATTATAGGCATAACTACAATACCCAAACTTCATTGAGGATATCTTGGGATATTAGTGCTATTTGTAAACATACAGGTACCATACCTTTTAAGCTTTGTAACTATTAAATAGCAACCTCATATTTGAGAAAACTGAGGCACAGTAACCTGCCCAAGTCAAACTGTAGGGCTGATAAAAAATCAGAGCTTTTCCAAAAAAAGCAGACCTCGGGGACAGTCTACTCACACTTGATACCCCAGCATCAACAGAAAAAGAAAAGAAGAAAAAAAGTGGTGTCCAGGAGTAGCAGCACAAAAGTGCCAAGTACACAACACCTCAATCTATTTGAATTAAGCTTTAATTCTCTTTAGCAGTTAAAAATCACAGCATAAGTTAAGGAAAAGTGGCACAGGACAGTAGTCCCAGCTACTTAGGAGGCTGAGGCTGGAGAATCGCTCAAGCACGGGTAGTCAACGCCAGACTGAACAACATAAGACACCTCCCTCTCAAAAAGCAAAATCAAAAGTTCCCGCAGCATTTGGGCTACTGGCTGGTACACGAAACAGAACAAAACTTGAATCCATCTCTGCAGTACCTGATGTGACCCTGGCTAAGTTCAACTCCTAGGCTGCCACCTTAGCCAAAGTGGGGAAAAGTCAAGAGTCCCCTAATGGCAAGGTTATTTTGCGGACTCAGCAAGATGACACTAAAGTGCTCAATGAATGGTAAATAATAAACGGCCAACAAACAAGGACCACCAAAACCATTAAGATTGAGACATTTATTATCGTAATTATCAGTGTTGTCACCAGTTGGGACCTCTTGGCCACTGCCGCCAAACTGTGCCACCAAAGAGCCGAGGAGACGCCTGCTGACTGGGAACGCGGAGCCTGCATTCCGGGAGCCTCAGCTGGGAATTCAAGGCTGCAGCCCCGCGGGTGCGAGGCTCCTGACACCGGAGCCGGGTCTCGCCCCGGGACCTGCCCAGGAGCGGCGCCGGGCCGGGCAGTCGGAGGTTCGCGGAGGTCCGGCTACTGGGGGAGGGCAGGGCCCGGCCGCGCCGTCCCCTCCGCCTCTCCCCGCCCCCCCCACCCACCCCCGGTACCCATCGCTCCCGCCCGGCTCGCACCGTCTCATCAGGCTCCATGCGGATCTTGAAGGTCTGCTGCTGCAGCGTTTTGAGCGTGATGGTGACGGCCATTGCGGGGCCCAAGCTATGCGGCGGCCCCGTGATCTTCACATAACATGCAACTCACGCCGCCGCCATCTTAACGCCCTGCCGCGCAACGCGACAAGCACTTCCGGGGCAGGTAGTGGCACGCGGACCGCTAGTGCACGTGACCCACTTGGGGGGGGGGGCGCAGAACAGGCGCATGAGCAGTCGCTCCCCAGCTAGTAGGGCCTAAACTTTTATTTCTGGCGAGATCTCTTGCTGTGGGCACCGCGATCACGTGGCCCCAGTGACGTCATGCCTGCGAGCAGTGACGTCATGGACACGCGACGTGGCGTCGTAAGTCTTCACTTTATCATAAAACTAGTTTTCATGTACTCAAGATTGCTTTTCCATAAAAATTTTTGTTCAAGCATTGTCTACATCGAATGAAATAATTCAGGAACTCTAAAGCGTACTCATACTCAACTGGAAATAGCTCAGTAGTCATCAAAAAAATAAACTTGGAAATAGGAACACAAGGATATTTGTAGTCACACTCAGGTTCAAGGACTTAGTCTTAGGAGTGAACCTGCACTTCCAAGTTTGTAGGTCCCCTGCTTCTGCCTTTCCATGTTTGTCCATTAAACACCTCAAAAATATTTAATATTCATCTTCAAAGTTCCCCTATATTAAATACAGAACTCTGAATTTTTCCCTACATGCAGCAATCATTTTGAGATACTTAAAAGCACACACCCTCCCCCTCCACCCATACACGAAAAGGGTATGAGATTTAAGAGGTCAGTTCAAGCACAGGGACATGGAGGCACATGCCTCTTAAGATCTCCAGGGCAGGCAGGGCTCCACAGGCCCTCTCTAGAGTTTACTACACATGGAAATGGAACTCTGCTTAAACTCAGTGGATGGATGTGTGGCCATTGGTAACTGGAGACAGGGAGGCTCAAGTAGCTTTAGCAACAACCCCTTGTCCCAAACAGACCACATAGTGCCTCCAGGCATGCTTTGCCCAATGTTCCCAAGACAGTAACAGCCAGTTACCCCATAATCACCTATTGCTCACATCTAACTTCTATCTCCCTCTTATCACTTGTCATGAGCCTAAACTTCATCAAAACTGACAAGGCTCTGTAAGTCCTTGGATCAACTATCTTGGCTAAGTCATTTCTGAATTTAGTGATTTTATGAGCTACCAGGAATCACCCCTCCAGCTAGCATGTTTGAAATTGCTCAGCCATCCTATGTAGTCTTGCAGAACAAGAGGTCCATTCCACTCTGTAACAAAAAGATGGTTAAACTGGGCATGATGGCACACTCCTTTAATCCCATCACTCAGGAAGGAGAGGTAGGCAGATCTCTGTGAGATGAACTCCAGCTTGGTCCACATATTAAGTTCCTGGGGCTACACAAAGACCTGGGACTACATACAGTCTCAAAAAGAGAGGAGAAAAAAAAAAAAAAAAGATGGTTAAGATGTCGTCCTGTCTGATCTGTGTTAGGACTGATTAAATTACTATATGGAGTGTGAAAAACACTTATGACTCTCTTCTGTGGGTTTGAGGTCACAGGACACATATACTTGCACTGATGTCATCTTGGAGAATATTCAGCCAACTCTAGAAGCTGGAACATAGCCAGCAAGCACCCCCAAAAGGCCACTTGATTCCTGGTGTACATCCTCCCCAAGATGGAGACACACAGGGAAGACACAAAACTTAATTTAATAGAAATTTTGTTTGTAGTTCTTACACTCTTCAGTGTGAGCTAAGCGGAAACCCACTGCCCCATACTAGTGTCCCAGTCCTGGGGGCAGGGGAGAAATGGGATAAGAGCCCTATTCTTCCTCAGTGCTGGGGGGCCCAAGACACCACCCCTTTCTCCTGCCCTCCTCTGGGATCCAGGAAAGGAAAGCAAATGGAATCTCAAGCCCAGGGCTTCTCCACACCTTGTTCCTGGAGTTGGAGGGTAGGAACTAGGGGTTGGACAAGAGAAGGGGACAACAGGGAAAGATGTTGATCCAAAAATGAGAAGCCAGAGGGGGGAGGACTGAAGGAGAAATGAAGACAAAACACCAGTACAAAAAGAAAACGGGGGAGAGGGGAAGTCAGGAGACAAAACCTAAACCCACCCCAAATCTCAACCTGCCCAGGAAAAAAAGTTCTTAGTCTCATAGAGACATTATTGGGAACAGCCGGCTCTGTGGCAGGGCGCTCAGGCCTCAGTCCATCCAGCCCTGGAGTCGGGTGCTGTGGCCTCTACAGTTCGTCCTTAGGCTGGCTAGTGGCATCTTCCTCGTCCTCCTCCTCGTCCTCCTCGTCCCTGTCCTCCTCGTCCTCCTTGTCCTCGGCCTCTTCCTCCTCCTTGTGCTTCTTGTCTTCCTCTTCCTCCTTAAGCCTCTGTTCCTCATCCTGTCTGTCCTTCATCTGCTTCTCGGAAGTCTGGGGGATAGACCACATCCCCTTAGAACATGCTCCTCAAACTGCCTACTGCCTGTCCACCTGCCCCTAATTAAGAATGAGAACCCTGGCCCACCTTGGTGGCTCCCCATGTCTCATTGCCGAACTCCTCTGCATACGCCTCATCATTGGTAATGAGGAAGTTGTCAAAGATGGTGCCGGACTTGACCTGGGATGAATGGGAGGAATGGGGAGAAAGTGGTCAGTGGGGACTTCTGATAGCCCTTGCTCTAGACAGGACTCCACTTTCACCACTCTGCTAGTCTTTGCAATCTGTCAAAAAATAAAAAGATGTGAAGCCAGCCAGGTATGGTGGCGCACATCTATAATCCCAACACTGGGAAGGTAGGAGGAAGAGCTCCAGACCAGCCTCAGCTACATAACCAGAGAACCCTCTTGAAAAAGGATGTGGTGGCACAGGACTAGTGCCAGTACTCAGGAGGAACAATGTCAGAAATTCAAGGCCACCCTGGTCTACACAGTACATTCCAAGCCAGCTAAGGACACAAATCAAGTTGAACTTGCCTCAAAAATCTCAAAAAAAAAAAAATTTAAAACATGGATAAAACTGCAGTTCAAAATCCAAGGGACTGTAAAGCCACCCTGCAAGACTCAAAGCCCAGCAGTGCGACCTCCTGCCTTTGTGACCTGGGCAACAACAATTCAAAACTCAAAGTTGTTCACATTTTTTTAAAAAAATCTTTTGAGACAGGGTCTCCTTGTAGCCCCAGCTGTCCTAGAACTATGTAGACCGGGTTGGCCCTGAACTCACAAAGATCCACCTGCCTCTGCCTCCCAAGTGCTGGGATTAAAGGTGTGTGCCACCACACCCTACTATGTTCACATCTTTTTTCACACACATCAAGAATTGCCCTAGATGCAAAAAAATATATCAGTGACAACTCAGTCCCAATTTTGCTATCTTTTGAGATAGGATCTTATTATATAACCTTGCCAGCAAATCATATGTAGGAGGGGCTGGAGAGATGGCTCAGCGTTCAAGAACACTGGTTGTTCTTACAGAAGGCCCGGGTTAGAATCCCAGCACCCACATGGTACCTAACAACTGGAGTCTGTAACTCCAGTCTCAGGGGATCCAACAGCCTCTTCTGACCTCTGTGGGCATTGCACGGCATGGGTGCACTTACCTACACGAAGGCAATACACACATACACATAAAAGTAAAATTTTTAAAAAAGTAATAAAAATAAAAAAGAGCAGCAGGTATTAGCAGTTACTAGAGAATCCTAGCAAGCTTTCCAACTGGGTCACCTGCACTCAGGTGAGCTGATTTTCCAGAAGTACTTAGAAGAAACTGGCACATGGAAAGTAGAACCTCAAAAGGGGTGCTGTTGGCCGGGCGTGGTGGTGCATTCCTTTAATCCCAGCACTCAGGAGTCAGAGACAGGCGGATCTCTGTGAGAGTTCAAGGCCAGCCTGGTCTACATGGCGAATTCTAGGCCAGCTGGGGTTACAGGGTGCTGTTAAAGGCCAATAACATAGTTAAGATGGTTTAGCCTATAAAGCATACTTGCTACCAAGTCTAATGACCTGAGTTTGATCCTTGAGACCCTACATGGTAGAAAAAAACCAACTCCAGCAAGTTTTCTTCTAACCTCCATCCATATGTGCACCCTAAGTACCCGTGGATATAGAAAATGAATAAAATGTAACTTTAAAAACTTTTTTTAAAAAAGTACTGTGGCCAAGTGTGGTAGCGCATGCCTGAAGTCCCAGCACTTGGGAGGCAGAGGCAGGCAGATCTCTGAGTTCTAGGCCAGCCTGGTCTACATACTGAGTTCCAGGCCAGCTGGGGTACAGGGAGACCCTGTCTCAAAAACAAAACAAAAAACCAAAAGTACTGTGAGGAGACCAAAAACAAGGCAGGAAATGCTTTAGAAAATGTACAGTTTTGACTCCTGTGCCTCTCCTTCCCTCCAGATCTCCCAGGTGACCCTAGCAACTTGAGGTCCCCCAGGAATCCTTGTCTTAACTGTCTCACCTGCCAGAGATCTAGGCCCAGCACAGCAAAGTTATCATAGGCATAGATGTTGGCATCTGGAGAGTATTCAGGGTTGTCGATTTCTGGGTGGATCCAGGTACCTTTGTAATCTGGGTTGTCAATCTGCCGTGGCTTCCACTCGCCCTGCAGAAGGGAACCAGAGGGTGAATCAAGGTGGACATACTCCCTAATACAAGCAACAACCTTACCCAGAGTCCCAAGCCCTTCTTGTTTAGTTTCTATACTGCAGCACCCAAGCACAGTCTCAGGCACACTAGGCAAGCATCCTACCAGCGAGCCATGAGCCACACTCCAGTCCCCAAGCTCACTTTGTACTCAGGATTCTGAATCACTGGTGGTTCCCATTCTCCATCCATCTCTTCATCCCAGTCCTCAGGTTTCTTAGCATCAGGGTCAGGGATGTGTTCAGGCTTGTCCCAGTCCTAGGGAGTATACAAGGTCAGAGTGGATCCAGGTGTCCTCCATTTACTCCATGTGGAATTGGAGAGCTGTTGTGCAAGCACCAACCTCAGGTTTGGAGTCTGTGGGGTCGTCAATTTTGGCACGCTCATCCCAGTCTTCTGGCTTAGCAGCATCAGGATCCTTTATCTTCTTGGGCGGCAAGAAGTCCCAATCGTCTTCCAAAGAGCCTGACTCCACCTGGCTGTTGTCAATTTTCACCTCATAGGTGTTATCTGGCCGCACAATCAGCGTGTACAGATGTGTGAATTCATCATCCTGAAGAGGAAAGGAGATTGAGTGGGCCCCGACAACTAGGCAGGGCATCTGGACCTCCCATGACAGCCATTTACTACCCCAGGCACACCTTACACCGGATGTCCTTGTTGATCAGCACATTCTTGCCTTTGTAGTTGAAGATAACATGAACCTTCTTAGTGCCAGGACCGCAGATGTCAGGACCTAGGTAAGAAGCAAATCCAGGCTCTACCCCTCTGTGAAAGAAGACCTAACCTCATTTGTTATTGGAAAAAGGGTCTTGCTACATATAATCATCAAAGCTTACTTCAAACTCTTGATCCTCCTGCCTAAATGTCCTGAATACTGGAATTACAGGTGTGCACCTAGACTATGGCCAGCTAAGAAGACTTATTCTTAAACTCAGATCTAAATTGAAAAGATTAAGATTTGGGGCTGGCAAGATGGCTTGGCAGGTGAATCAGGAACTTGTCAGCATGCCTCAGTTTGAAACCCAGCACCCACATGGTGGAGGAAAACCAACTCCAAAAGCTGTCGTCTGACCTTCACATTCATATGCCCCCACACACGTACACAAATAAACAAAATAGCAATTAAAAAAATACAAATTCTGGGGGCTGGAGAGATGGCTCAACAGTTAAGAGCACTAGCTGTTCTTGCAGAGGACTGGGGTTTGAGTCCACATGGCAGCTAACAACCGTCCTTAACTCCAGTTCCAGGAGAATCTGATGTCTTCTTCTGAACTCCGTAGGCAATGCAGGACATGGGTGAACTTACATACATGCAGATGATACATTCATACACATAAAGTAAAAAATAAACTAAAATACAGATTCTGTGATTACATCTTCATTCCTAAAATCAGGAAATACCTAGGAACGATCATACAAATAAATGAAGTCTAATATAGTAGTAAGTCACTGCTGTGATCTAACCTTTTAGCTGTTCCTCCAAGACAAAAGATGCACTTATTCCAGTGCTCTCTTTGTTATCAAGACCACTTTTCTGGTTATAAGGGCTTTCAGTGTGTCCCCACCATCCAACGGACAGAGGTCAAACCAGGGCGGGGCCCCTCACCAAACATGATGTTGTATTCCGAGTCTCCGTGCATGTCCTTCTGGTCCAAACTACCCGGAAACAGCTTCACGTATCCGCCCCCACAGTCGATATTCTGCTCATGCTTCACCGTGAACTGCACCACCAGCGTTTGGCCCTTGTTGCTGAAGGGCTCGAATCTGGCAGACAGGGCGTAAAAGCGGGCATCCTGGCTTGTCTGCAGCCCTGTAATGGGAGAGTATGGTCTCGGTAGGGCGTAGACCCCTGAACCCTAGACTACAGGAGACACACATGATCGATCTCCCCTCCCTTTCCTCCACCTGCCGTTGCTGACTAGTTTCCGCCAGGAAGTCCTCCTGATCTGAGCACCCACTCCCTGCCTCTTACCTTTATCCTTCTCCTGGTCCCCGTAGAACTTGCCGGAACTGAGGACAAATTTACCAAAATCGGACTTGTGTTTGGATTCGACCCAGCGGTTGGTCCAATCATCTAGAGGGGGTCGGAGAGGCAGGTCAGCGCAGCCGGCTGACCCCCGCCCCCATACCCAACGCCTGCCTAGAGCCACAAGCTGGTGGGGGCGGGGAAGCGGATTCCCCACCTCAACCTTGAGCTTGACACCAGAGTAGCTTCAAATCCTGCAGTCGACTCTAACCCCGGCGCGGAGGGCCGCTGCGCCTCCCACGTCCCCCAGGTACCTATGGAAGGAATCGCCCGCGGCTCGGGTCCCCCCGGGGCCGCAGTGTTGGCCCTCTGGGCCGCAATGACCACACACACCACTAAGCAGACAGGGGCTCGAGGCCCGGCCGAGCAGCTAGGCGGCCTTGAGTCGGGCCCGGGCGTTACCTCCGTCCAGGAACTGCTCCTTGAAATAGACGGCAGGCTCGGCAGCGGCCAGGCCGAGGAGGCCGAGCAGGAGCGGCACAGGCAGCAGCATGGCGGGCCGAGGGGGCGGTGGCGCGCGGGCCCTTTAAAACGAAACTCCAGCAGCGGCTCTGCAGTACCGACCGACTAGTCCGCCCGCTGCTGGCTTTTATATGCTCCCGACTCTCACCCCAACCTGCCTCGGCCTCTGAGCCCACCCTCCGATCCTGTTGATTGGTCGCTATGCACAACTATCTCTTCCCATTGCACCCTAGCATGCCCAGCACGTTTAGCTGTGCCTTGGAACCCTGGGATCCCAGATGGCCGATTTCTATTGGTCCTACCGTAGGCCAATGAAGGTCGACCACGCGTTGTGGGGGACGCCCCCTGGTGTGGAGGGGGCCCCGAGGCCTAGCCGCCTCCACCGAGTCACGTGACCGGGCGTCATCGTTGTCATCATCATCATCATCATCATCACGATCACCGTCACCATCATCACCACCACCAACAACCCCACACACACACACACACCCGGCCGGCAGTAGCGCAAGGCGCTCCATATCTGTTGGTTTAAAGAATCCGCGCGGCAGCGCAGGTGTCACCCGCAATGGACCGGCCCCTACCTCCTCGGCAGGGAGGGGCGAGCCCAGCCTTTTCGCCACTTTCTATCTCTGCGGCGTTTGGAGGATAGGATCACCAGCTTTTTCTGCTCAGTATGGGGCAGTTAGGACGCAGAGGTCCAGAGCTGGGTACCTGTGGCTTAGCTGCACCCTGGTGTCACTGCCGTGCAGACCAGTAAAAAGTATTAGTGCCCTCCTCCTCGTGGTGTCCCGGCACCCTGGCACACTACTGCTGTGTGACCCGAGGCAAGTCGCTTATCCTGTGAAATCACAGAGGCTAGGAGGAACCACCCTAGCCAGATGTTACATGGCAGAAATGATTTTTAAACCTATCCAGGGACTGAGGGCAGTAAGCGCCGACGATGTGACTGTAAGTGTGGTTCTTAGGGTAAGAGGCAGAGTTGCTCTCTCTTTTCACTCTCAACTGGGAAATGAAAGGGATCGTCTCTTTGTGGTCTCCCACAAACGGCCTGGCTTTTGCAACTAAACGGCAAGAAACAGAGGAGAGGGGTTCGTGTTGGAGGAGGATAAAGGACACAGATGGTTGTTGTGATAAGGCCCTAGGGAGATAGGCCCCTGATCTGACTTCAGTCACGTGAGGCCAGCTCCCAGTAAGCTTCAGGGAAGAGGAAGGCGAGCTGGGTGGTTTCTCACAAAATGAGGACGTGGGAACACAGGGGCACATTGGCAGTAAGGTAAGGTGAATCCTGACAAAAGTGAGGTGCTTTTCTGGTCAGTCTGAGGGAAATTCAGGGGAGGAATGAGAAGGCATAGTAAGCATTGCCAGCTTGGGTCCCTCTACAGGATGCCCACGTCTAGAGGTCCATACTAGATTTGCCATTGACCCTCCCTCCTTTCTGTTTGGGCCATGGACACTGATGTGTATGGTTGATACCTCCTGCCTGAAAGTTATGGAATTCACTGTCTCAAAACAGGCTCTCTGTGTGTGTGTGTGTGTGTGTGTGTGTGTGTGTGTGTGTGTGTGTGTTGCCTAGGGTGGAACCAAGGGCTTGGCACATACTAGATAAGCATTCTGCATTGAGCTTCATCCCCAATCCTGGATTTTTTGACAGGATGTCACTCTTTAGCCCAGACTGGCCTCAAACTCAGTATTCCTCTATTGCTGGTGTGGTGGCAATGCACACCCGTAATCCCAGCATTTAGGAGACTGGCTGACGAAGGAGAATCTCAAGTTCAAGGCCAGCTTGGGCTACATAATGAGACCCTGTCTTTAAAACATGTAAGTAAATAGGGGGCTGGAGAGATGACTCAGTGGTTAAGAACACTGCAGCTCTTAACAGAGGACCTGGGTTTGGTTCCCAGCACCCACACAGTGGCTAGCAACCTTCTGTAACTCCAGTTCCAGGGAATCACATACCCTCTTCTGGCCTCCAAGAGCATGGACCCACCTGGTGCATCTGCAGACATACAGTCACTTATACATACATACATACATTTATACGCATAAAAGTAAATACATTTTAAAAATTAAAAATATATATAAGTAAAGCCGGAAGTGATGGCATACGCCTTTAATCCCAGCACTTGGGAGGCAGAGACAGGCGGATCTCTGTGAGTTCAAGGCCAGCCTGGTCTACATAGTGAGTTCCGGGACAGCTGGGGCTACAGGGAGACCCTGTCTCAAAAAGACCACTATATATATGTGTGTGTGTGTGTGTGTGTGTGTGTATGTGTGTGTAAACAGGACTGAGGTGATGGCCCAGTCATCAAATTGCTTGCCGTGCACTTAAATTTGATCCTCAGAGCCCACATAAAAAAGCAGGCATTGGGGGCTGGAGAGATGGCTCAGCAGTTAAGAACACCAGCTGTTCTTGCAGAAGACCCGGGTTCAAATCCCAGCACCCACATGGCAGCCAACAAGTGTCCATAACTCCAGTTCCAGGGGATCTGACAGCCTCTTCTGTCCTCCATGTGCATTGCAGGACACACATGCACTTACCTACATGCAGGCAGTACACACATACACATAAAAATAATGAATGAAATTAAAAAAATAAAATAGGGGCTGGAGAGATGGCTCAGTGGTTAAGAACACTAACTATTCTTGCAGAAGACCCAGTTCAAATCCCAGCACCCACATGGCAGCTAACAATTGTCTGTAACTCCAGTTCCAGGGGATCTGACAGCCTCTTCTGTCTTCCGCAGGCATTGCACGACATGAGTGTACTTACCTACATGCTGGCAATACATGCATACACATAAAATAAAAATAATAAATAGAATATTTAAAATAAAATAGCCAGGCATGGTGGTGCACACCTTTAATCCCAGCACTTGGGAAGCAGAGGCAGGCGGATCTTTGTGAGTTCGAGGCCAGCCTGGTCTACATAGTGAGTTCCAGGATAGCTGGGGCTAGAGGGAGACCCTGTCTCAAAAAGACAAAAAAAAAAAAAATAAATTAAATAAATAAATAAAATAAAAAATTTAAAAAGCAGGCATGCTGATACATGCTTTTAATCCCAGTGTTAGGGAAGAAAAAACAGCCAGATCCCTGGGGACTGCCACCCAACCTAGCCTACTTAGGAAGACCAGACTACTGAGAGACCCTGTCTCAAAAACAATTTGGAAGCCAGGCATGGTAGTAAGTGCCTTAATACCAGAATTTGGGAAGCAGAGGCAGGCAATCTCTGTGAGATCTGAGGCCAGCCTGCTATACATCGAGTTCCAGACCAGCTGTCTTAAAAAAAAAATGTTGGGGGGCTGGAGAGATGGCTCAGCAGTTAGGAGCATGTACTGCTCCTCTAGAGGACTTGAATTCAGTTCCCAGTACTGATATCAGGTGGCTAACAACTACCTATAATTCCACCTCTAGGGAATCCAGTGTCTCTGGTATCCAAGGGTTCCAGTATTCATGTGCACATACACAGACACACACATACATATACACATTAATAAAAATAAAAAGGGGGCTAGAAAAATTGCTCAGTAGTTAAGAGGACCCAGGTTCAGTTCCCAGTACCCATGGTAGCTAACAACCATCTGTAATTCCAGTTCCAAGGAATCCAACTTCCCTCTTCTGACCTCCATGGGCATTGTACCACAGGAGTGCACTTACATACATACAGGCAAAATAATCATATACATAAAAATAAGAATACCTAGGTGTGGTGGCACAAGCCTTTAATCTCAGCACTGGAGGAGAGGGGCAGATGCTGGCTGATCTCTGGGAGATCAAGGCCAGATTTGTCTACATAGCAAGTTCTAGTCCAGGGGCTACAGGGAGACCTTGTCTCAAAAATTTTTTAAAAGTCTTTAAAAAAAAAAAAAAAGCAAGTTGGGGGACTGGAGAGATGGCTCAGCAGTTAAGAGCACTGACTGCTCTTGCAGAGGACCCAGGTTCGGTTCCCAGAACCCACATGGCGGCTATGAACAGTCCTTAACACAAGTTCCAGGGCATCCAAAGCCCTCTTCTGACCTCCATGGCATTGCACGACATGGGTGCATTCACATACATGCAGGCAATACACTCATACACATAAAATAAAAATAATAGGGGCTGGAGAGATTGGCTCAGCAGTTAAGAACACTGGTTGTTCTTGCAGAAGACCTGAGTTTGAATCCCACCACCCACATGGCAGCTAACAAGTGTCCGTAACTCTAGTCCCGTAACTCTGAGGGGATGCGACAGCCTCTTCTGACCTCTTCAGGCATTGCACGACATGGCGCACTTACCTACGTGCAGGATATACACGCATACATAAAATAAAAATAATACATTTTTTAAAGTTAAAAAAATAAAAATAATAAATAAAATATTTTTTTTAAGGCAAGTTGCATGGCACCTGAGAAATAACACCTGCGGTTGACCTCTGACCTCCATATGGATGCACACATGTGTGTCTAAAATATACACAGTAATACAAAAAAATAACAAAATAGGGCTGAGGATGTAGCTCAGTTTGTAGTGTGCCTGTCTAGTGTGCATGAGACGCTGAGTTCTATCCCCAGGCCTGCACGTACCAAGTGCAGTGGTGCGCGCCTATCATCCAGCACTCAAAAGGTTGAGGCAGGAGGATCAGATTCAAGATCATCCTGTGCTACATAGTGAGTTTGAGGGGATCCTGGGACATGTGAGACCCTGTCTCAAAACCTAAAATGGAAGGCTAGACAGAGGGGGCTCGGTGACTAAGAGCACTTAGTAGTCTTTCAGAGGACCAAGTTCAGTTCTCAGCACCCACATCCTGTAACTCCAGCTCCAGGGAATCTGATGTCCTCATCTGGCTTCCAAGGGCACCTGCATACAAGTACATATACCCACACATAGACACACAATCATACACATAATCAAAAATAAAGATGTCAGGGCTGGAGAGATGGCTCAGCCATTAAGAACACTGACTGTTCTTGCGGAAGACCCAGGTTCGAATCCCAGCACGCACATGGCAGGTAACAGCTGTCTGTAACTCCAGTTCCAAGGGATCCGACAGCCTCGTCTGTCCTCCGCAAGCATTGCACGACATGGATGCACTTAACTACATGCAAGTAATACACTCATACACTTAAAAAATAATAATAGATAAAATATTTAAAAAATAAATAAAAAATAAAAATAAAGATGTCA